AATCATTTGGAGTCTCCTTTTTATGGCGAGTTGACAGCAGGTTGGAAGCTCAATTGATGCTTCTTCTCATTTTGTTTTCATGTTCGTTAGATGAAGGGGCTTACTCATTTAACATCTCGGTACGGCGGCGAGATATCCGAATCACAACTGATTTTTGCATGATCGAAGTTTAATTGTTTCTTGATTGAGGCATCATGGCGTCAATGATTTTCGTTGGCTTGGTTACAGTGCATGTAGGCAGTCTAATTAACTTTAATAACCACGTTTCCCAACAATCATGGATTGATTAACAATAAAGCATACTTGTACAACGTGTAAACCTGCAAGTAGCCGGAAAAGTTGTGATTATTTTGTCATTACCCCGGATTTCCCCAGACTTTAGCTTTTTTCGGCTCTCAAGCCTTGTGACCCCATGTTTTATGGGGTCGGAAATGTTGAGAAATTTTCCCACCTACAATGAGAGTCCGATGGACGGATCGACAGTCTAATTTCCCCTCTTTGCAATCCTATATCAGAAGACAGAAAATCTTAAGTAAGAATCTCAACAGGCCCTCCTTCCATTTTCATTCATTCAAAACAAGATTTTAATTTCCGGAAAATGGAGAAGGGCACAAAAGTGGAACTCGTTCGGAATTAATTTCATTCACATCGGGGTCGGTACTTTTTATATTGCTTACATCTTTGGACATGAATCCACCGAGTGTCCACAGTTCGGTACCTATTTGTATCTAAAAGTGTACTTTCAATATTTTTAGATGTCAAAAAATATTGCATGGATGTATCTTTCCGGCAAAATTGTAACCCATTGGTGGGATGGGCGAGGATCTACCATCAAAATTTCTGTATCTATTCACACTTGTGTGATGAGAAGAGTGGACAAAGTCGTTCACGGGTTCTTCTACGGAGGTCGCGGTCATTTTGGAAGAGATTATAGGCTCTTTCAGGGTATATACGCTGTAAGGCTCTATAATTCGTTGGATTTGATTAGGATCTATAAAGTCTGATCTCCGCTTTACCCGAATAAATTAATAATGCCTGTATCCTAAACTCAATTAGACTCTAGATCAATCTAAAACTATAATGCTTAAAGCTTATAGGCTTATCGAGCCTAATATGGGCTTAAAATTATCTGAACATAGACCCTATAGTATCCAGTTAGTGTGCTTAATTATAAGCATCTATAGGGCTACCTAGTCTCTTCTAAAATGACCGCGACCTCCGTACGCGGTTACAGATATACCGAAAATGCTGAACCCCCTTTGAACTTGGAATGTTCAAAAGATACGTGATCGCCAGTTGAAATGGTCGATCTTTGCATGTACATTGTTTCTTCCTCACCTCTCCCTCTATTGTCAAAATGAAGTCTTCGGTGTTTTCATTCGTTACTGCTTCCCTATTGGCCCTACCAGCTCTCGTGGTTGGTCAACTTTCCGGCACAGTTGGTCCCACCACTACAACAGCTCAAAAAGCTGCGGTGAAGATCTGTAACATTCTCGACTACGGTGGTGTTGCTTCTGCTACCACCGACAATGGACCTGCTATTTTGAAAGCATGGACAGCATGTATAGACGGAGGTGAAGGTATGATATCTTAAAGTCTTCTTCGATATCGTCGTGCTATTACTAACTAATTGCAAGTCTACATCCCCTCTGGAAGTTATGGTCTCGGCACTTGGGTCACCCTCACTGGAGGAACTGGTGTATCCATTAACTTGGAGGGAACTATCTATCGAACTGGGTAAGGAACCACATCATTGATCAAACAATTACGGCACTCACTGACAAATATTCGTGCTAGTACTGCGAGTGGAAACATGATTTTCATCGAACATACAACCGATTTCGAATTTTACAGCGGTAACTCTAAGGGTGCTATCCAGGGTTACGGTTACGTCTTCCACTCGGGTCAGTAGTCCATTGTCCCAAAACAATTAAGTCTTTGTGCTGACTGTATCTTTAGCGGGCACATATGGTCCAAGAATATTGCGTCTTTACCAAGTTACAAGCTTTTCAGTTCATGGTATCGTTTTAGTTGATTGTAAGTATTCACTTATTCGTCGTTCTCTGTCTGCATCGTACTAATCCCTTCTCATAGCTCCTGCATTCCATCTCGTACTCGACACCTGCACAGACGGTGAATTATACAATTTGGTCATTCGTGGTGGCAATGAGGGCGGTTTGGATGGTGTTGATATCTGGGGAACCAATATCTGGGCACACGATATCGAAGTCACAAACAAAGATGAATGTGTTACTGTCAAGGTGCGACATCAATATTATCTCTGCGAGAAGAAAAACTCTCTAACTGTTCACAGAGTCCTGCAAGCTACATCTTAGTCGAAAACATCTACTGCAATTGGTCAGGAGGAAGTGCCATTGGAAGTCTTGGTGCTGATACTGGTAAGCTTTGCTTCCCCTCGACTATACTCTCTAACTAACACCTATCCAAGCAATCTCCAATGTCGAGTACAACCACGTTTACTCCCAAAACTGCAACCAAATGATGATGATCAAATCAAACGGAGGTTCCGGTAGCTTCAAAAGTGCAACATTCAACAATTTCATGGGACATAGCAATGCCTACACCCTTGACATTGACAGTGCCTGGACCGGACAATCCGTCGTAGCCGGCAGTGGCGTCACCTACTCCGACTTGACCTTCTCTCACTGGCACGGCACCTGTGCAAACGGTGCAGCCAGAGCTCCTATTCAATTATTCTGTCCCGCCGCCATCCCTTGCAAGGACATCACCATCTCCAGTTTCTACATCTGGACCGACACCGGATCTTCGGAATTGTACAAGTGCAACAATGCTTATGGAAGTGGACCCTGTCTCAATTCTGGAACGACTTACACAACTTACACTTCGACTGCAACCGTTACTTCTGTTCCTGCTGCGTAAGTCTTCTATTCCATTTCTGGGCTGTTGATCTCAAAGCTAACTCAAAATTAAGTTCATATGCCTACACCACCATGCCTGGAGAAATTACACAGGGTCTAGGTATTACCGTTAGTATCGCCATCCCAACTCATCCCGCATCATACTACCCCGGTATTGCTCCTTATAGCGCCCTCGCATAAGATAAACTCGTGTTTTGAGTAACTCGTTGATTGATGTTCGCGCTTAATCGCCGCGATATCGTCTTGTATATCGAACCTCGTGTTCGAATTTGAAAATACTTTATTCCTTGTATATAGTCTCACGCTTGAAAAATTGTACATATTACCTTGAATTTGTGTTCTTGTGTTCTTGCTTCAAAATGTTGATAGTGACTCTTCTGCGTGCATGGATTGTGTTATATCGAAGCTTTGATTTTTGGTGACTAGCCCGTTAGTTTGCAAGGGTGATGTTCAATATTCTATTCGTGCGCTAGAAAGCCACTTAGAGGCACATCCCATGAGGTGCTAAACTACACAGTGATTGGTGGACCATATTCAGAGGGCGTGTCGCAAACTTTCTGTCCGTACGAGCAGATCGGGGAATTAGCTATCAACTCTCAATAACGAGGTATCCAAGAGCAGTATAATACCAAAGCGCATCAGAGTTTCGTATTCATTGAAAATTGATTGAATTCGCAAGCTGAACCCTTTTGATTTTTGTTTGTTGGTGTAGTCCAGACTATTGAAGACCCTGAAGCTTAAATACTTGATAGGTTTGGCGGGACATAAAGTTTCATGCAAGGGCAAGAAGCGGTAGAATGATAAATACCTACGGAATTCGTTTCGATGAACGTTGTGTCACCTGTCACAATGTGAAGACCAATCAGAAAATAAGGTTCGGGAGATGCATCGGCATCTGTTAGTAGGTAGGTATCTAGCTATTTAATAGTCTCCTATCATCAATGCATAGGTATTCAGAAGAATACGGTTGAGCGAAATCTGACATCTGGATAACAGTCCAAAGTATCTAGCTAACTCTGAACTCTAAATCGAAGTCGAGGTGAATTGGCAAAGGCTTGATAGTTCCGATGTTTATCATCTAGGTCAATGGTTTTGCGGATCCCGTCAAGCTAAGTGCGATGAAGGCCCCTTGTTTCACTCTGACTATGTTTTGTGTACCCATGTATTCGTCCGACTTAGATAGCCGATACCATCATGTAAATAAAGCTGCCCAGAGTCCATGCCCAGATGCGGTACAAGTGTTATGGTCAGAATATCACTTCATTAAACGATGTATAGTTTTTGACGTGTCTCAAAAGCTCGCGGAGAGTATCTAACTACCTCGAACTCCCTACACAGAGTCGTTAATAAAATCTCCGATGTCAAGACTCGGATATTTAAGAACGAAAGAATTTTGCTAGCCAAGGGTATGCCCACCAGTGGTTGCACGGACTCACGGGACAACGTGACAGGAAAGCACAATTTCATACCAAAAAGAGCTATTTTAATAATTCAATTAAAATTCAATATATCATTGAATTCTTTCAAAGTTGAGATATATAATTCTTTAAGTATCAAATAATCTTTCTTTTGAAAGTGATTTGAATAAAATGCAATTTGAGCTCAAAATACAAATAGTACGCTTTTCTATTAAAAAATTTGGTGGGGAATTATATATTCTATTATCAAGACTTCAATCTTGATTCTTTTGATTCCAATTTTTTTCTATATAAAATCTTCATGCTTAAAAACTCTTTATCTGAATTTCAAATAAATTCAATTTTAATTTTAATTTTGATTGAATTATTAAAATCGCTCTTTTTGGTGTGAAATTGTGTTTTCCCTCTTGAGTGTCCCGTGAGTCCGTGCACCCACTGGTGGCCTGCTATCATTTGAGTGAAACGGACTCTTGTTCTAGAGATCCTAGCTTCTGGATCTGTGGAGCCGTGTCGTGTAGTTGACAGGCATTGTCTTTGAAGAGCATCCTGGATACATTCTTCCTTTTTTCCTTTTTCCGTCCTTCGTATTTTGAGTTGCTCAATCTTTCGGCTTTTTCGGACGGCTCGAATTCATGAATGTTGATGCATCTAAATTATGACTTTGCCATGCGCTTTTTTTGCATCATTTTTGGTAATCTCCCTCGAGACGCGCTGCTTCACGCTGCTTTATTCCTGGCACGTTGCTCAATTCTTTTGTGTTATGGACAATGTGATGGCTATTCCATCCGTTTGCCATAATTTAGCTCACAGCATATCGTGCAATTCTCCTTGGGAATTTGCAATACATTTAAGGGTAGAAGGAAGGGCGCCGGCAAGAAGTTGTTTGTGATATCCCGTCATTCAACCAGCAATCACGTCAAGGCCGACTCGTGTTGGTAGACATTCCTTCAAGGCATCAAGTGCTTCAGTCATTAATTGGATGATCAAAGTTTGATATTCATTTGTTTCAAAAATTTCAGTTCTTTTACATTTGAATTGAATTGAAACTAATGTTAGTACCTCAAAAGATACCAATTTTCTAGGTCTTTGTACTTATGCGTGGGTCATGTAAGGAGTGGCTACAACAGCATTAAGATTGACTTTTTATCGCGCTTCCAAGATGTTTCAATATAAAGTGGGAGTCCAATTATCGGCCAGCTACAGCTTCAGACGAGATTCTGCCAGCTGATGCAACAGAGTAGTTAGTCCAGTGAAGTCCGGAATCTCTTTTAACCAAAGCCTCAACAATCATGATTCAATCATCAGTGTAATCGAATCCCACTTCAGAATTTGAGATGATGGCCATAAATCTTCCAGTGAAGTCTGCCCGATGGTGTAGATTGCAGCCATCCTGCGCAGATAGCGCAGCTGAATGATATCTCTGCCAAGAGTCGGGTGTGTTGAGAGCGTCAGCTTAAGGGACGTAGTGAAGGCTGGCGATATCTCACGAGAAAACCCCTTCCAGCTCCTTTATGATGCCAATGCTATGAGAGTCAATCATGACAGTAGAATCCTAGACCAGCCGACTTTTGATCTCTTCAATAGATTGAAACAAAGATCATTGCTAACAATGCATATCAGGTTATAGATAGGTTGCAGTTCTGTACAATCTTCGAATCCGTCCGTCATTATTTTGCCCTGGCATAGATTCATCAACAACAATATTGTCATGTATGCGCCGGCTTCAATACGATAAAGCTCGTTCAAAGGGTTCAATGTAGTGATAGGACGTAGCTCATGCCTTGAAATGGCTTTTGTGCTTCCCTTTGCCCGCGAAATGTTCGGTGAAAATTTCTCGACAGCTTCCATACCTATCCCTTTCCCTTGAAATTTCCTATCTTGATATCTCAAAACGATCTCACACCATGATTTTCGCAGGATTCGAAGAGGTCATATACAAAGATGACAAAAGTGACTGGTGAGGTATTGGGCGAAGATTTCAAGGTGTGTGTTGTGAACTGTGCCAGGGGTTTTGTCCCATGATATATAAATCCTCCACTGGCCATCTCCAATATTGCAAAGGCTTTGAGGTGGAGTTGGCCTCATGTCGACACTATAACAACGCAATACTCAGAAACTGATACCCTAAGCAAGTATTGAAAGTGACTTGGTAGGACAAAAGTCGTGCCAAGGCCATAATTAATTGGCGTCGCGGCATCTTTAATAAGCTAGCGTTAGACGATTAGCGACGTTCGCGACGGGAGGGAAGGGAAGATCAACTGAAAGCATGTTGCGACCCAAACAGCTTAATAGCCAAACCTTTCAACGCTAGTTCATTTTGGCACTATTCGACATTAGCCAACCCCAGACCACCGTAATGTTCCAGCGTTATATGGGACTCAAATTTGATGAATTACCTCACGTTAAAACTTGCGAGAACTTTTTCAAGAAGCGATCTCATATCAAGAAAAGAAAAATAGCCTGAGACTTGTATTGATCCTCAACCCTACATTCCTATTCCAATAACGAAACCTAGACAACGGTATTGAGCTCAGCAACAAACGATTGAGAATCTTTCAAACTATCGACAGCCTGTTTGAGGTGTTCTACATTGTCCATGGCCATTTTTCGTTGCTGTACATGTCAGACAAAATTCAATGATCTTTCAGGAGACTTACTTCAATTCCACTCCAACCAATCAATCCTAAGAAAAATCTCTCCGGCAAGTTTACACTAACACCACTCAGAATGTGTGTACCTTTCAACGCCTTTGCAAATGCTTCCCATGCTGTTTTGGCTGCATTTTCTTTCTCAGAGTCTTCATGAATGTTGATTCTAAAGACTTCGATTATTGGGAACGCGAAGATATCTTTTGGTGAGAGATCAGTCTCGTATACTTCTGGCCTCGGTGGTGCAGTAATATGTGGCTTTAACTGTGCAATAAGGGTTGGAATCTGTTCGCTCTTTACAAAATCATGAAAATATTTCGAGTCCTCCCATTCTGTGTTATATCAGCTCCATTTCTGTGGAGTTTTTCATCAAAGCACTCACCAATGCCCAGAATTGGATTGAATGAAGGCTCTGCTACGGCTACATTGTTCTCGATCAATTTGTGTCCGGCCGCACCAAGCACGAAACCGGGAGCTGAAGTTATGATAGATCTAAGTGATGGAACAATAATGTTGCTAAAAGCATCGCGTGCTTCATCTGATTGAACCAATGAAGGCCTAATAAGCTCGGTGAAAGGCATCTTGAGGATAGATTTTGGTGATATGGAGTGTATAAGTTTTATTCATGGACCGATTGAAGAGAAGATACCTACATGAAGCTGATATCAAGTCGATCGAGTGGTACTTATATATCTCGATATCCGTCTCATATTGTCTACTTTAGTTGCGCTGGACCAATATCAGCACCACATTGTATACAGCCAAAAAAAAAATCTTAAATCTGTTTACAAGACAAAAACTCACGAAGATGAATAATGGTACACCAAAAAATACAATGTGTTAGTCAGTTCATCGCCGTGGAAATAATGAGGTAAGCAGTCAGGTACCCACTTTATGCTTACGAGCAGTGGAACTCCGCTGGAAGCTTATGTCCGTGGGCGACTACAACGGGCTCAAACTATATAACATCAAACCGGAGTGGAATTCCGCTTCAATACTGAATAATTGTATTGCACTCACGATAGGAAGTTCTAGGCTCAGTTCCATCGAAGTATAATCGATATGACTGCGGTTTTAGTCCACCAAAGCAAGACTCGGAAGAAGGCGTGTACGGCTTGTGTCAAAGCAAAACGGAGGTGCGATTTATTGTTGCCAGCATGCTCCAGGTGCAATACAAAGGATCTGAGTTGTGTTTATGTAAGTGAATCGTTCGGCCTTATTGTATCATAGCGGTACCGTGATGCATAGAATGCTGAAATTGTGGATATAGGTGAATGAGATATCGCGGAAGAAATCAACAAGATCTTCACATCGTCCTAAATCAACCACGGTTCCTGTGGAGAGCATTGCGACAGCACAAATCTTCACTGATTCGTATGAGGCATGTCTTGATTCGTTGCCCTACGACAGCATATCGCTCTTGGATTACCAAGATCAACAATCTAACCAGGATCTCGCATCGTGGAATTCCACCAGCAACACCGCCCTTTTTTTCCCACCTGACATGTCATTTCAAATCACCAATCCACTTGCATCACTTGATCCTCAGACCCTGTCTCTCTCTGTCGATTCATTCCCATCACCTTACTTATCTATTCAAGTTCCTCCTCGCAACACCCTTAGCCCTGCTCAAATCGCCTATATCTCAACCCAATTGAAATCATTCGTTTCGTCCTTCGCACTCCACTCCCACAACTCTTTTATCCATCCTCTCTCATCCCATAATCTTGGTAAACCCCTACCCACTCCATATACCGACGCACTTTCTATCTGTGCACTTCATACCCTCGGCTCTCCTCATGTCTTCTCGATTCTCGACTCTAAAATCTCTGACCTTATTTCCTCGAGTGAAAAAGATTATTGGCGCTCATCCGAATGGCTTATTGCAGTCCAAGTCTTGAATCTATATCAAATCATCCGTCTCTGGTCCTCAAATGAAAGACAAAAGAAAAACGCCGAAAGACACATACCGTTGCTAATGCAATGGACAAATCAACTACAAATTGAATATGTAGGATTATTAGCACAAGGTATGGATACACGGCTTCCCACAGACGATGTCCATAGTAATGGCAGCAAGCTTCAAGATTATGCAGAGAGATGGGTACTTCTGGAAAGTATACGACGAGCCGTCATGATTAGTATGGTTATCCAATGCTTATATGGCGTGATGAAGGATGGGCATTTAGGAGGGTTGTTGCCTCTATTATTTCGCCTACCGGTCAGTGTTCAAGCAGGTAAAATATGGGAAATTTTAGGTAGGAAAGTTCTGAATGAACAACGGACATGGGAAGATCAATCTGAAGATTCTACAAATGTCGAGTTTGGAGAGATTTATGAATATAAATGTTGGAGCGAGGGCTGGACGATTGGGATTGTGGGAGGAGGCGAATTGGAACAGGAGATTTATGAAAGGATGTTGTTGGTAGCCTGTCCCATGACTAGAGCGATTGAAAAGTGGGGAGGAGATATGGAGTCGGAGTATGGAGAGGTAGAATTGCCAATTGTGGAGGGTTTGGAGATGGGTGGTCTAAATGATTAGGTTCTTTGGGGACATGAGAGGTTAGATTTGGAGGCGTTTTCAGCAAAGGCGTTACGGTTAAATACGCTGCTCTTTCTTTGCTCGATGGATAAGATAGCATTGATGATACTTCAGATCAATCACTTGCGGGGTTTCCACTCGATACAGAGAAGTTTTGAATAATTTTGAAACTACAATGGTCACTTTCCCCCCCAAAAATTAAGAAATTCCACGAATCTTTAATTAAGCACGGTTTAGATGCCCCTCAGACGGGGTGAAACATATCCAGTCCTACTATGCCCCATCACGGAACAACAATCAACTTAAACGGATTCAACAATCCTCACGAACAACTAGACGGCAGATATTTCTTCGGGGACTCAAACTCCCTTTCTCAAAACCACAAAGTGTGGCTCGTAATTCTCCTCTACCATCCTCACATCAATAAACTATTTGCAATTATAATGTAAGTCTTGTTTTGAAAATCGTTAAATCATTTGGATATATACGTTAAAATATGTACGACGAAAAACCAGCAAGACCCCATGCAATTATACACATATCACACCCTTTTGAGCTCCCATTAAAACCCCCAATTAAGCCTCTTCACATTTCTCCAAAGCCTTGTTGAAAATCTGCACAAAGTTCCATACATCCTCATACGTGTTGTAGAGTGGTACAGGCGCCACACGAATGACATCTGGTTTTCTCTTATCGGCAACAATACCTGC